AAATATTCTTTTTTATTTCTCTAAATACTAAAGAAATGCCTTTAAAATTAAATTCCATCCGACATTAACCTAAACTTAAATCACACCCAAATTTTAAAGGTTAATTTCGTATATTTCCTATACCCTTCCTGTTACGATCTTAAACTCAGTTGGCAGAATAATTTTAAAACTATGATTTCTTTCCTCGTTTTTCTGCAGTACCTATTTTGATATCTTAAAAAACGTCATTAACACTCTCCTCACCAATTAAACACGACTCGTAATTAGTGTGTAGCGGAATGTGACATCAAATATTGAAGCCGAAATGCGGAACGAGTGAAAAGTTTCAAGGCATCTAAACAGTTAGTTCAAAGTGAAGAGGGACGAAGGTGGAGCTGACCAATTGGTTAAATGAAAATGTTATAAAGTTAGTATAGTAATTTGAAATAGAAAACAAGATGCTATTAAGATGTGCTTGTACATTAGAAAGTGTGAATTACTTTATATGATATGTGTAAATTGACAGTAGATGACTGTCAATTATTGTTGCGCCTTAGTCTGGAGTTTCTTTTTGTCTCTACTGTGTGAGTGGAGATAGATTATTATATTATTCCGGTGTTATTATTACGATGTGAAAAGTTTGTTGCATTACAGCACCAACAATTGGACTACACTGAGACAAATAATACAAAGGAATTAAAAGGATTAAAATAATACATAATCGTTTTGCGGTATACCCTGAATTTAACAAAACTTCATCTGTGTTCATATTAAATAGAAGCAAAACGCTGAAAAAAATCGATGACCAAAACAGATACAGTCTGATTATTTCAGGGTTCTTATTTGAACCTTATCTAGTTGCTTAACAGATAATATCAGACGATGTAAAGTTATTTGCGTAAAATAAATACAGTCTTCAAATAGTAGTTTTCGTTATTCTTTACTGATAATTAGAAATGGGTATCCAGAAATATTTTAAGCAATCAACATACCTGTACGATACTTAGCATTTGGCTGCCAGTAAACCTGCTCCTGAGGGTTGGGTGGATAGTTCTTGAACGGTGTTAGTCGTACATCAGTCTCATTATGTCTATAGTTCTGATATTTTGGCTGAACGTAGGAGGAATGATAAGTTGGTTCTGAATGTAAGGATGATGGATTAAATGAATACTGACACATCTGTTGAGATTCATTTTGCTGATAACTGAACATTGTCTGATTGGACGTTAAATCACTTGACATTCCTGCAAAACATATACGACTTCATGTGAACCACTACTTCTTCAAGCAGTACTGATCACTTGAAAATCTGTACATAGAAGAGATTTGGTTGGAAGCACTATGATCCTGTGAATATTGTAGACGGGGATTTTCAGAATTATAAGTAGGAGATTGGGAATTTTGAACGAAGTTAGTACCTAAAATGAGGAAGACGGCTTTTACACTTTGGGATTTCAAGAACTATTGGATAAACTGTGTAATTAATTATAACTTAATTCAATCTAATAAAAACTTTAAGCTGCAGCATTTAACTTGTAGCTGTATTTATTTTCTAAGGGATACCCGCATTAATTAGGTACCAAAACCATATTGATTGAAGCTCGATCTAAGCCTGCGACTCAGTGCATAAGGATCAAGTATTTAAATCACTGAATCACAACTCCACTGTATGATGCAACGAAAAATATTATATATTTTATACAATATAGTCTCAAGAGTCGCGAAACTGAAGGATGATCAGGTGTGTTCAAAAATGTCCTTATTACTATTATTATCACCCACTACCCTAAAAGTACCATTCCCCATCGTGAATGGGGTTATTTAAAACAATGATTTGTACAGAGTATGAAAACACTGAGACCCATGAACCGGTTCTACTTTAAAAGTAGCACTTATGTGACACTTTAGGGAGCTACCAACTCTGTAAGTGCTTATTTACAGTATGTACATCGCTACCGATAGCTCGAAAAAAAATATTACAGTAGGACATGAAGTCTTCCTGAAAAGTACCAACTGTTACTCTTAGAAATTCCTGTAGAAACAGTGATTTTTACTTGGCGTGTATAAGAACGACGTGACTTTTACCAGACAAAACAATGAGACTTGGTTCTAAAGAGCATAAACATACGTGGTTTCTACCTTTCAAGGACGAAACTAAAAATAGTAATGACTAGCCTACCTGGGTTCTACATCGTCTAGAGTTTTAACAGCCTACGTTTCAAGTCAAGAAACAGATAGAGTAAAATAAACTGATCAAAGATAATAACACACTGTGAACCGCGACACTACAATAAGTTGTGTTAGAAGATAGTAAATCAAAACAATATTCATATAACAAAGGAAAAAGGAATAGTAATGGAGAAAATCCTGAAAGAAATAAAAAATCTATTCATCCTAGAGATCATAATTATGCATATCGGAATAATCAAATAAAATCTCGTGGAAATAGTGCAAAAAGTGGCAGTTATTCAGAAAGTACATATTTCGCATTACATACTGGAACAGATAGATATGGTCGAAGAAAGTATTATTCACGATTTCAAACACGTGGACGATCAAATGGTTATCGTGAAAATATGTTTTTTAATATTTTTGATGTAACCGGTAATATTAAAATGAAACAGAATAAAAATCAGTTGACAAAATCCGAAAAAAAAGATAGTTACATAAAAAAGAATTATATTAATAATAAAGATTATAATGATAACAAGAATGAAAAGCCGGAATGTCCAGGATCATCAGTATTCAAAGACGGATACAGATCATTAGACAAAAACTTTACTACTAATTATGGAAACTCGACTAATGCATCAATTCCATTAACCGGTAAATAATCCCAACTATAATCAAAAAACTTTTGTAATTATTAATAAATGGTCTTCAAGTTATGCATAAAATGATTTTATATCCTCATCATTTAAAGAAAACTATTGTATTTCTTTCTATTTTAGTGAAAACATTGTAAAATCACTAGTAAAGTGTTAAAATTTTCTGTTTCTAATACTCAGAACTGCAAATGATTAGATCGTTGTTCCTATAGATTCATTCCAACGCTATGACCATAAAGATTTGTTGAGTATAATCACCAAGTTCCTACCTTCTGAAGGAACATATAAACATATGACTTCCAGTTCACATTAGCAGACACACGGAATAGCGCATTCATTACATATTAACACCTTCATATTCATTTATAAACCTAGTAGCCATATGTATTCAGTAGTTCAGTAGATAACAAGTTCAGCGTTTGAATCAATAAGTACAGAATTCAAGTTCCAACATGAACATTCAGCTAGAGTTCCTAATTAAACGGAATGAGCAGCCTGATTTCTGTAACTAGACATATACCTGATAGAGTAAAACATTAGATAAACAATCTTTGAAAAATAAATAAAAAATGAAGCCCGTTCGTTGACTACAAGTTATGCATTCAGCTTTGAGTCACATTTTATCATAAACGGTCGATCAGTAAACAATCCCCTGAACAAGATCATTCAAAATCGATTTATACACAGACATTAGCTTACTCAATAAGACAATCAAATACAATACAAAACAATCTGAAAACAACACAGAATATTAACTAAACCACACGTGGTTAAAAAGATTAGTTTACAAAACATCAGCAGTAAAATTAAGTTAAAAAGTGAAGAAAATAAATCTGTTCAAAAATTCAAAGCAAACTTTCTCATAGTATTAGAAATAATAAACATGAGAGGTATTCAGTCTGATGTAACTAAATATTACAGAGATTTAGATCGGACAACAAGAAACATTTATATTAGCAAGATTAGCTTTAGAACCATAGAAAATTGATACAGAATACTCAATTTGTTTTATCAAACCAAATACAAAATATTTCTATTGATCACACAAAGACTATGGTATATCAAATGTGAAATCTATATAAATATTGATTATACTATAATTTAGTTTTATCTGCAATAAAACGTTACATACTATTACCGAACAAATATAAAATACGAAATCAGAAGAATGTTACAAAACAAAAGTCAACTTATGTAAAGTATAAATACTAGATTGTGTGTGAAAAGAAGATGAAATAGAAATTTACAATAACGGCAACTGTTATCGAACAAATAATCAGGCAGTAACAGATAATCATAATATAACAGAACACAAAGAAGCAACATATACGTCGTCAACTACTACATTACATATTCGAAAAAAATGTACCATGTACGCATTAGTATTTTGCGTGATAATGACAGTTACCGACTCAACTAGGGCTCACCACTGAGTTATTATCATCGACTACCTGTTCACAGAATAACTTATCAATCATTAGCGTAAATGAAACTAGTCTCATCAGTGAGTAGGTCTGTGTACTTACTAAAATCTCAATGGATGTATCTATCAAAAAGTGTTTAGGAAGTAGCAAATAGTATACATTTTCTCAATCTCATTTCTAGTCTCTATTTAAGGAGAGATTTTTCACAAAGCATTGCGTCGTTTATCTAACAACAATTCACCCTTACCACTAAGTTGAAACATAACAAACATAAGAGAATATATATAAAATTATGCTGAAGCTGAAACAAATAACGTACTATGAGGATAAGATGAATGACCATGAAAAAGTTGACTGGCATTGTTTAAGCGAACATTCTTATTTGACTTTAAAGGTAATGTATGATGTGATCCGACGACTGATGACATTTGTGGAGTGACTGGCATGCCTATCATACTAAACCAAGACATAAGCGAGAACTCAAACTTTTTCCATAATAATGATTCCAGGTCTACAACAACAAACAACAGTTGGAGAGTACGCAATGGTAACACGAATGGTGAAAAGAAAAAGGCTCATTTGGTGGTGAATTCGAATTGTCGTGGTTATCAGGAAATTCAAATCGAAGATATGCATTTAAAGAAGAGGGAGAAGAAACTTTTAAAGGGGTTGTAGCTTCTTGCTGACCCCATGTGGAAGCATTAGTAGGACCAACACTGCAACTGCTGCTACTGCTCCAACATTCATGCCCAGAGTCAAGGTGAAGGGTTCAATTGACAAGTATGGAAAACGCACATTCCAATATTCCAATTTGAGAAGAGGTGGAAAACGAAGGAGTTATAGAATCAAGACCCTTAGGTGTTGAAGATGTCAGCATGGGCATGTCACGTTCCAGGATTTCTTGTAAATCGGATAAGAATGCATCAGTCTCTGAGAGCATGTTGCTAGTATGTACAATGTTAATTGACATATTTGCTCCAGATACAGAACTTTTTACATTATTGGACAGAACTTTGGAATTCAAAGGAGAGATTTGAGAGGTATTCACAGTTGCAGTAGACAATGTGGATGTTTCAACTCTAACTTCATCATCTTTATTTGGTTCAATCGGTTCACACAGAATCTGGTCCAAAACTATATTCGGAGCATTTGTCGAATCTAAAAGCTGTTCAACTACATCAGGTTCAGTCATACGATTAGTAGATGGGTCATTTGGACTAAAAGACAGTGATTTTACATTAGAATAGACGGCACTTTGTGAGAAGAATCCCTGATGTTCCTGCGAAGACTCGCTATTCACAATTTCACATGATAACTGAAGATCATTGTCCAATGTATTTGGATCACGTTGGTGATAATGAGCTGACTGGTTTGATACGGAAAGAGGATATGGAGACTGGATATGAAAATCGCTCGAAGGGTTAATTGAACGGGCTTTGCTCACAGATACACGTTGTTCATTATGGAACGGCACTAATAAGGACTAGACAAGCATGACATTGATCACCACACAGTGATCAATCAATTGCGATGAATTCATTATATTTCGTGGTTTCTCATCAACTGCTTACAACCAGATATACTATCAGTGTCTTCCGAGACACAACAATCTCCAGATGGATGTGAAAAACCTGACATTGGAAAGGAATATACATCACTCCCACGGCAGCTAGGATCGTGGTACGAGTTGTCACTAGCATAAGAAGGGTCCAAAGGGACATAATTATTCATCTGAGAATTGTAACATTGCCGTTTTAATGGTTGACTGTCGGACAATTTCGCTGCGTTTCTGAAAAGTGTACAACCTTTCGTTGTCAAAGTTACAAACAACTCAATAAGAGACAATGTGGTTGCTGGCAATATACAACCAAAAGAATGCATGATTAATCAGATTTTGGTCCAACATTTTTGTACAGCGATAGCTTTTTATCTAAAAAGGAAAACATACGTAAGTACAATAACGAATCAGATGCACGGAGTCTACAAAAATTTAAGACACCTCAAAATACATGATATTAGTTTTGGTGAAGACGAAGTATACTTAATGAGGCTAGACTACTGAACGATCAAGAACAGGTCAGAGGTTATTTGGTGTTGTAATCAAGGAAACATTAAGGAAAAAAGCGGTGATCAAATGACTGGTGCCAAAAAATAAGATTATCAAATGCTTTTTCCGAGAGCACACGACGCTCTACAAAAGTCGGATACGTATTTCAACTGAAACATTTGTTTTGTTTTTTAGTGTGGATCATCAATTTAATTCCGTGTCGAAATTTTACTTGATACCATAATTTGGAGAAAAAACAAGAACACTGAGTGGAATCGCATCAACTGATGGTTAAAGAACTACGAGAAATACACAGGCAGCATTGGCTAAACAGCATAACTCGGGGTAACAGGATACCCCAAGACCGAGTTAAAAGTACGTAATCGACTAGCTGCAACTGAAGTATGTCAAAGATTGAAGACATGGTAACAGGTAGTTTTTTTATAGTTGTCTTCGAGGTATAATTTTATTCAGCTACAATTACCAAGGTAAGATGACTGAGATTTATATTTCTAGTCAACACTTCAGGATGATATACACATAGAAAAACTAATAACAAAAATTGTTCCAAACTATGGAACTACAACTCAGCTTTTAAAGTAACCAGCTTTATATGATTGGGAAGCAAATTTGAAACTCACTCCATTTATTTTAATGTCGTAGACGACTCAAAACCCTAAAACACTAACCTGCGAGAAGGTACTAAGTTGGTTAAAACTAAACTAATACAGTGGTTGGTTAGTTGTTGAATCACTCATCTTTGAAACAATGTACCAGGTTTAAACCTCACATTACATACTTGAATCAAGTATAATTAATCACAATGTGGCTTAAGAGCGTGAATATAGATTGACTTATCAGGTTTTACTAAGTTTAACTGAGTTACAAACGTTTATTTTAGTAATTGGATTTTTATGGTATGATTTACTAAATCATCGTCCCAATTAAGTTTACAGAGAAGATATACACTGATTTACGATAGGTTGGCAATCTTAGTAACACGATTTGCCTCAACATGCCGTGTTAGTTCATTGGACTATAATAAATAAAAACTGATTCAAGGTCTAATACAAGGTTATAGGTATAGTTGATGGGCTATATCATACAGTTGTATTGTGTCAGGTAGCAATAAAAGCAGCCAAAAACATATCAAAGAGGTACATATCCAGGTATGTGACATTTTCAAGACATTCATCTGACTTAAAATCTGTAGTACATAGCCACCCACTTCAAACACATGTACTCTTTAGGGTAAACTAAATCCCAAGAATATGAGCTTAAAACAATTAAAGTCGGTGAAATTTACATAGTTTCCATACAGTCACGTTGTGTTGCATGATGAGGTTGTTCGGTTACTGGCCACATGATAAAGGAATCTTAATTCAGTGAGTATGAGCGATGTAGGAAAGCGTAGTTACCTGACCAAAGTTCATCGATGTTACCATTGTTCCAGATACAGTATTGGTTTATCTTCAAAACTCCGGAAATCATGTTCCAAATCTTCCTTACTGTTTTTATCAAATTTATTTACATTTTAGCAGACTAAGTCTAAAATTGCATGAATTGAACAGATTTCCCGTAAAGCTCTGAAAATGAACCTTAATGGGACTATAATTTACAGGCTACCTTTGAGCGACTCTCAAGTGAACTCGAAACAATTCACCTACTAACTGTGTCATCTGCATTTGTTCGTGTGTATGGGACAGGAGGGCCAGGTCATCTTCGAAGTCTAAATCGTCTAGTCGCACTCAAACTGTTGATTATACTAACGTGCTTTCAGCTATAATCCCAAAGAGGTCTTCAGTCAACCACCAGAAGAAAGAGACCAAATTCACGACTTACCATCCATAATTTGCATTGGTTTGTCCATAAATTTTAGTCTCGCTATCAGCATCAGATGTACAAAAATTTTTCTGAAGTATGAAGATGTAACCTGGTAAAGCATATCCCCTAGGATTACTTTTGTTAGAGTAGTAAAGTTGTCTTATCGATTTATTATCGTTCCTCGGTATGCCAACTAGTCAATGAAGTTGATGTGTAGCGACGAGTTCCATTCAACTAATTGTTCGACCCTTTACAACTGTACATAAATATGACATTCGATTTACGGATGAAGCTTTACTGTGATTCATAGAAAGTTAGTCCTAAATGAATTTCATCCGGTTCAACAACACTTTGTTGAAAACCTTATCTGATACTGACAGTATTGTGATGCCACTGTATTTCTCACATTTGCTCAGATCTCATTTCTTTGGTATCTTGACGAAGTTTCCTTGTTTCGAATCCGTCGGCACTTGTTCTTGCTACCAAATCTTTCTGAATAGAGTGTGAAGTATGTTTGCAGTTTCTTCTATGTCTGACTTTAGTGCTTCGGCTGGTATATTGTCAGGTCCTGCTGCTTTTTCACTGTTAATCTGTCTGATGATAATCCTGATTTCCTCGATCGTTAATGGAGTAACAGTTATAGGAAGGTGTATGTGTGCTGCTTCGATATCCAATGGATTCAATGAAGCTGGTCTATTTAAGAGTTCCTTGAAGTGTTCCACCCATCTTTTCCTTTATCCTTGTATTTCAGTGGTTGTCTTGCCTTCTTTGTCCAACCTGAAATGTCACATCGATAGGATTTAGAGGCATCATTAGGGACTACTAGTTTCTTCGTTGTGAATATGGCTGTCTCATATTTCCTTCCTTTGAAGCTTTTACCACTCTCGTTGCCACTTCTTCCATGTATTACTGTTCATCAATATGAGGTTCTAAAAGATCAAACAATTCACTAAACTTGTTTGCTTCTGTGTACTCAGGTTGTGCCTTGACTTTCTCTATTTATGTCCGGCTGTTGTTAATTGCTGTCTTCTTATCCTTGCTTTCTTGAATCGTGTCCAGGGTTTCCTTAGAGAGTCATTCCCTCTGATGATGCTGATTGCGGCCCAAAACCTCCTGATATGTTAACGTTAGTGCTTCATTGGTTCAGTTGTCCTTTCCAGTCGCCTCCATGGTAGTCTCTTATTTTTTCTGTAGATCCTGTAAGGCTTGTAACTTGTTGTTGAGGTTCATCTCGAACTAAATGAGTTTGTCAGTATATCGAAGGAAGGATGTATTGAACATTTTTAGTGGTGTTTGTCTAGTTGTCCAATGATTCTTTAGCTTTATTTTCATCTTGGCCACAACCAGGTACTGACCTGAAGCTATGTCAGCTCCTCTCCTGGGTCTCACGTCCTCCATTGACCTTGTGAATTTCTTTACTGATGCAAATATGATCGATCTGGTTCTCCGTCGTGTGGTCCGGTGAGACCAATGTAACTTTGTGTATGCGTTTGTGGGGCTATAGTGACTCACGTGCAATTGAGTTTAGTTCAGTCAAGGTCTTTTGTTGACCTATTTAATGGACAAAGTCATCCATGGTATAACAACTTGTTGTACTATCTTTATTATTATGCTTGTATGAAATACATATGCTTGAACATTGTTTAGCGCCTACGCATGTATTCATTCTGCTAGCTTCATTATTAACTGAGTTGTCAAACGTCGCTTAATAAATGGTTCCGTAGGGGTCAAACTTCTGGAATACTCAAGAGCGTTGTGTCTGTCAACAGTTTTTGCAACCCCCTCGCAAGACTGATAAGCTGGCTCGTCGCACTTTATGGTGCCACAATCGTAGTTCGCTTGCTCATTCATTTTGCCTCTCTGCTGTCTGGTCCGAATTATCTACTAAATAAACTGTAGTAGCTGCTTCTTTTTGCCTTCTGATTTCAAACATCGTTGAAGATTATACGACAACGGTTCGAGGGTGATTAATTATCGAAGCACAGCCACTACAGAATTGGTAATCCCGACGTGAGAACGGGAAGCGAATTTTGGCGAAATTCAAATTGATTGGAGGAATCAGCAGCATAATGCTCTTTCCTATGAAGGTCTTCACAACTGTGGATTTATATTATTATTTTAATTACACTTACATTATTTCGCAAACATTATTAAACGTGACGATTATAATCATAATAAATAACAATTATCCATAAACAATTGATATATGGGTCGACCGTCGGTTTATCCATAAGAAGCCAATCAATTTGACATTTTTTTATTATCATTGTTTTTGCCCATCTATTCTTCCTTGTGACTGTTAAATTATTTTCGTGTGCTACTTAATTTTTATAAGCATGTCTTATGAAAACACAGTTTCAAGCGTACAGCAAGCCTCGTCCGTGAGGTCTCTTAACCTCCCTGCCCCTTCTTTTAAAATCACAGACCCAAAACTTTGGTTTATAAGACTTGAAAATTATTTTCTCGCTAACCGCATTCTTTTGCAAAAGGATAAGTTCGGCCTGACAAGCACACTACTCTCAGAATAATTAAGGAAATATGGGGGCTCACCAATAGAGTAAACGTTTCTTTAGCCTCAGAAAAACCATACGACGTGCTAAAAGAGGCAGTAATTAAAACTCTCTCTCTCAGTGACCAACAAGCCGTCGAACAACTCCTTAGCTTCTAGTAGCTTGGTTGCTTGAAAGATCGTGGCCCGGAACTCTTGAGCATATAAAATTATATGAAAAGTCTACTTGGCGATAGACACATTGACAATAATCTCTTTTATCAACTGTGGCTCCGCCGACTCCCGGCAAATATACAGCAGATCCTAGCTGTGGGAGATACGGATGCTGATTTAGACAATATACCAAAGATAGCCGATAGAATATACGAAAGAAGCAAGCAAGCAAGCCCTCCACCACACAGCGTGACGGTAGACGATAGACTTGATACTCTACAGAAGGAAATAAATGTTTTATCCCGCAAACTCACAGAATTAACGCAGAGAGAAAAGCCACGAAGGTCATCGCGAGATCGCTTGGTTAAAAAGAAGTTTGATTTTCATGCCATTCTCTTTATAAGCTGTACAGTAAAAGAATTTATTCCATAGTAGAGTAAAACTTGTAGATTTAACAGGGCTAGTAACCCATACCCACGAGTATCAATGGCAACGGCATCAACACACATAATGCCTGAAAATAGTCGCCTCTTTTATATACAAGACCAAACCACTGGCGAACAGCGATAACGCTTGCTCGGATCTTTCGCGGATTATTTCATGTTCTACTTTGAGCTGATGTCCTTTCATGTGTGACACATTACATATTACTTAAATGTATCAGTGTTCTATACGGGTGAAGAGAACTAATCAGATATTAAGACATATGGTAAACGGAAATTGTCCCTAGATTTTGGACGTGGCGCTTCATACCGCTGGAACTTTGTCATAGCAGACGTATCGATGCCCATAATAGGCATAGATTTCTTGTGAGTAACTTTTTAGTTTCTCGTCTTCTAAAAAAATTCAAGAGAGCGATATCCCTTTCAAGGAATAACGCATGAGCATATTTCTCGGTGAGATCTTGTGATAGATAAAAGTCGTGGTGATCCATATAAATTGTTGTTAAGGGAGTTCCCTGAACTCGTAAAAGTAACATACAATAAAGCGGATCTCAAACATTCTATTCAGCATCACATCGTAACGAATGGTCCACCAATCAATGCAAGACCAAGAAGGTTAGATCCCAAAAGACTAGCCATCGCAAAACAGGAATTCGACAAGCTAATGAGGCTAGGCATTATAAGGCCATCGAGCAGCCCGTGGGCATCCCCACTACATATGGCCCCGAAAAAATAATCCAACCCATTTTAACTCTGCCCTGGGAGTTAGAAGGTCTTCATTTAGAAGAATGATGACGCTCCATGGTAAAAGCCGAGTTCCTTCGGAAGCCACGAGGCCGATGCCCCTTCTAACAACCAGAGCAAAAATTTTTATAGGTACATGGAACGTTCGAACAATGTGGAGCTGGATGGTTTGGTCGTGGAGCTTTCATCGTTCTTCTGAACGACATCATCAGCACAAACTTCAGATAGAAGTGAAGTGTTCGATTTTCTCCTTATGTGTTTCACAGCTTGTTCTGTGCACCTCGATGTTGATTGGTTCTTGTTGACCTTAAAGTAGCACGAAATGCACTTGTAGGATGGGAATCCCACGGATCCAGAATCATCAAAGCATCATTCAAAACAACGAAGGAGGGGAGGTCATGACATAGCTTCAGATCACCACCTAGTTGTAGCCAATTTAAAACTTAAGCTAAAGAAGAACTGGACAAACAGCATTACAAAGGTTCAATACAGCCTTCCTTCGAGATACTGACAAACTCAATGAATTCAAGATAGCTCTCAACAACAGGTTCCAAGCCTTACAAGATCTACTGAAGGACGAAGAAACTACTACGGAGGACAACTGGAAAAGCATCAAGGAAGCATTAACTTCAACGTGTCAAGAGGTTCTCGGTCTAAAGAAATACCATCATAAGGAATGGATCTCTACAGAAACACTGGACAAGATCAAAGAAAGGAAGAACAAGAAGACAGCAATTAACAACAGCCAAACACGAGGAGAGAAAGTCCAACA